TTGTGTCGACAACTTTACCTCTAAAAATAATGAGTTAAGGATTAACTTTAATTAATTTTCGTTTTGTTGGTTTATCATTTATTTAACATGATATTGAGTCATAACACATTTAACGGGGTTTACTAGAAAAACCGCTTACAATTTATCTTTATAATACAATTACATATTACAATATTTTCTGACTTTTGAAATAGACCGTCTTTCCTTTGATAACTTCTGACATCTCCGCTTTCGCCAATCATATGTAACATTACAAAATGACGTTTTTTCCTAAAGAAATAGAGGATTATCAGGTGATATCAGAAACGTTGTAGACGTCTATTGAGGATTAACTCCAAATCTTTGTTGAGTTGATATCATTTTTTCTCGATAACAACAAAGATAGGGATGGCTTTTTTTTCAAAGATATCATTTTCCTTGCCAATTTGTCATATAGGGATTATATAATATCTTTTGTTCACAATACCAATTCAGGAGCGTAACGAAAATCTTTTCAAGAGACAGAACAACCTTTTCTTTCTATTTGCTCTGTAAAATATAACAATATATACACAAATTCTCGAAAATAAGTATCTTTAATAGTTAGCAAGTGAATGTTTACTTACGTAATGGACAGCAGGCTTTTTGTCACGATAGGCGTATTTTTAGATCGGTTTGTGTTAAACATTTTGAGGGTATTTAAAAAATAATTAAAAACTGATACGATATCTTTTTTGCAGGTATAGCAGACGATACGACCTTCAACACTGGAAGTATAGGAAATTACTTGCCGAATAGCAGTGTTTTGAAATTCGGTGCGTTCACCCCAACCATAACTTGTAAATGCACCGCAATTGGAATCGAAGAAAAAATTACATATCCACATGACAAAGTACTTATGAAAGGATTATCTAAAGTAATATGCCGAGAGATTCACCAGAAAGGTGATTCTGGAGCGGGTGTGTATATAACAGGACACGATCGTGAACTGAAATGTGTCGGGCTGTTCTTTGCCGGCATAGGTCGGGAGGGCTTTTTTATTCCAATTAAAAGTGTATTAACAGAATTCAATAATTGTCAACTCAAAAAAAGAGAAGAGACACAACAAGAGTAACAAAAACAGACAAAGGGGAGACGGGAGGGGACAGAGATAGAGACGGAGGAAGGGGACAGAGAGAGAGAGAGGGAGAGAGAGATGGAGGGAGGGGAAAGACAGAGAGAAGGGGAGGGGACAGACAGTGAGAGAGGGAGGGGACAGAGATAAAGACGTAGGAAGGGGACAGAGAGAGAGAGAGAGGGAGATGGAGGGAGGGAAAAGACAGCGAGAGGGGGAGGGGACAGACAGAGAGAGAGGGAGGGGACAGAGATAAAGACGGAGGAAGGGGACAGAGAGAGAGGGAGATGGAGGGAGGGGAAAGACAGCCAGAGAGGGAGGGGACAGACAGATAAAGAGGGAGAGAGAGGGAGGGGACAGAGAGATAGAAGGGGGGATGGGACAGAGAGAGAGAGAGAGGGAGGGGACAGAGATAGAGAGGGAGGAAGGGTACAGAGACAGAGGGAGAGAGAGATGGAGGGAGGGGAAAAACAGAGAGAGGGGGAGGGGATAGACAGAGAGAGAGAGAGAGAGAGAGAGAGAAAGAGAGAGAGAGAGAGAGAGAGAGAGAGAGAGAGAGAGGGAGGGGAGGGGACAGAGAGAGAGAGAGAGAGAGAGAGAGATGGAGGAGTACAGAGAGAGAGAGGAGAGAGGGAGGAGAGAGAGAGAGAGAGAGAGAGAGAGAGAGAGAGAGAGAGAGAGAGAGAGAGAGGGGAGGGAGGGGACAGATAGAGAGGGAGTGAACAGAGATAGTGAGGAAGGGAAGGAACAGAGATAGAGAAAGAGAGAGAGGGAGGGAACAGAAAGAGTTAGGAAGGGAGGGAACAGAGAAAGAGAGAGAGGAAGGGAACAAAGAGAGTGAGGAAGGGAACGAACAGAGAGAGTGAGGAAGGGAACGAACGATATCACAATATTCATCACGATATCACAATAATTCATCACGATATCACAATAATTCATCACGATATCACAATATTCATCACGATATCACAATATTCATCACGATATCACAATATTCAACAAGTCACTGTGTATGATATATCACCAGTAATGGAAGTTATGACAGAATTTGTACACATTGTTATAGACAGAAATTAAGAGATGAATAACATGGGATGGAATGTGTTACTTAATAACTGAATATGGGAAATAATATCCAAATGCATTTTCCTGTATTTAATCTAGTTTACATCCATTCAATCTACATTCATTAAGTAATGAAACTAATACTACATATACAATACTAATTAACATTATATAGTCCAAACTTAAAACATATCATGACGTAAAGGTTAACAAAAACTACGAGTAATACCAGCACCTACGCTACAACAGTTATATTTAACAGGTTTGAATGGACTGATTGTATTTGAGGCAGCTTTCAGAAGAAAAGACTGTACGGAATTTTAAAATGGCGTGTAGAGAGATATACTCATAATTCGGTGAGGTTACCACCACCTACTTCAAGGAAACTACGCCTTTAAACTGACATTGGCTGTCAATCAAACAAAAATGGCGGCTAGTAATGGTGAATCGTTTCAAGGGAAATAACTCGAGCTATCATACACTATTCCTTGAAAACGAGCCTACAAAACTGCAGCGATGTTAACAGAAGTTGTTTTCGTCTGTGTGATGAATATTGAAGTGCATTTTGTATTTAATAAATATTTGTTATCTGACATGATTATTGTTTGGGTTTTTTTTTTTTTTTTCGTTAATGTGGCTATTTAGTTCACAATCTCAGAGAAAGAGCAGACGTTTACCTAAATGTAAACCTTTACCGGTTTGAATGGTGAAAGATTACGTAATCTTTTTTGGTGTGTTCTACCAAGGATTTGTTGGTTGAGAAAATATTTCTTCCCCTTTTCTCTTGGTTCAATCTTTACGAGTATGTTTGATGGTAGTATCAGTAAGATTTTCTGTTTTCGTTGAGATCAGAGAACACTATTTTGTGGGATGAAAGTTTGATAAAACATTTCTTTCCCTTTTTTTGCTTTGTTCAGTAGAGACGGGGTTGTTTTGTGAAGACCTTTGTAAGATTTTCTTAATCTATCTATTTCAAACTAGACAGACTTATTTGGCGAAAGTCTGAGCAGGATATTTTGGGGTTTTCTTTTAAGTTATCATGTGATTGTTTAATGAAAACGTTAAATATGATGTCTTGGTTGTGTTCAGATTTTCCCTAAATTCGAGCGGTAATGTGTTCGGTTAGAGACCGATGGGTCGCTAGTTTGAACCGAAGTGATAGCAGGGTGTTTTTCATCACTCCTTTCTGAACAGCTATTTTAGACCATAGACATGATAAGAACGTTCGATTCCTGTCAATGACATCCGCAGTCTGGACGGTAAATTAACCATGAAAAGGACGTAAGGTAATTTAGTGATACTTCAAACAGTGTTTGTTAGGAGAGCAGATAAGATGTTACAGTTCCTGGTAGTAGAATAGATATCTATAAATGAGAAAAAAGATAACACATTCCCCTTTAGTAGATATGTATTCTTCGAAAGAGACAAGAGATGTCACAGTCCCCGTTAGTAGATATGTATTCTGTGAGAGAGACAAGAGATGTCACAGTCCCATGTAGTAGATATGTATTCTGTGAGAGAGACAAGACATGTCACAGTCACCTGTAGTAGATATATATTCTGTGATCGAGAGAAGAGTTGTCACAGTCCCCTATTGTAGATATATATTCTGTGATCGGGAGAAGAGATGTCACAGTCCCCTGTAGTAGATATATATTCTGTGAGAGAGACAAGAGATGTCACAGTCCCCTGTAGTAGATATATATTCTGTGAGAGAGACAAGACATGTCACAGTCCCCTGTAGTAGATATGTATTCTGTGAGAGAGACAAGAGATGTCACAGTCCCCTGTAGTAGATATATATTCTGTGATCGGGAGAAGAGATGTCACAGTCCCCTTTAGTAGATATGTATTCTGTGAGAGAGACAAGAGATGTCACAGTCCCCTGTAGTAGATATATATTCTGTGATCGGGAGAAGAGATGTCACAGTCCCCTTTAGTAGATATGTATTCTGTGGGAGAGACAAGAGATGTCACAGTCCCCTGTAGTAGTTATGTATTCTGTGAGAAGAGACAAGAGATTTCAGTCCCCTGTAGTAGATATGTATTTTGTGGGAGAGACAAGATATATCACAGTTCCGTGTAGTATGCATATGTTCTGTGACAAGGTTTATGCTCTTTTACCTACATTTTTACATACAGTTGGCAAGAGTGATTTTACAGAATTCCAACTGAAATGTTCTGATCAACAACACTTAATATCATTTCGATAACCTGGTATATGTATACATATAGTTATCATCACTGACATGGTTTAATTATGATATTTTAAAATTAATGACCTACATCCGAATAATCACTGTTAATGCATACTTTTACATGTCTCACAATGGAAAGCTGTGTAATGGACCACTTGCTACCATGGTCCACTGCACACCTAAAACATGTAATTCTGATCACATGACCATAGAACAGGCCTTGAGAAGAAGAATGTGTTTATCCCGCGATAACAGGGACATAATCAATGTTCTGTACAGGCACTTGTCATATGTAACATTATCACCGAGGTAATTGCAAGCATACTAAAAACACTAAAAAAAAATAAAACAAAAAACAAGCAAACCAAGTCGGCAGTTGTCATATTTTTGAGAAGTTCTTTTCTCGTCATTTTCGTGGATAGAAATATTCGTTTAAAACAGGTTCATTGAAAAAATACATCAACAGAGAAAACAAATGTCCGATAAAGACTTCCGTTAAAATAATTTGCCCTCCCATTTCAACTAACGATCAATATACAAGATAGATCCGAATAAAGAATAACCCAAACAATGTGTCTTTTGAAGTAAAAATTAAAAAGAGACAAGCATTAGTAAACAAAACAAGATGTTTATTGACCCTGACGTCAGCTCATCCCTATCCAGTTGGACGGATAATAATCCGCTCTATTGTATTGTTTATCAAGCCAGGATCCCGGTTTTGGGTAATCTCGGAAGTAGACAGTTTCTCCTCCCGCTAAATAGGCGCCCCACCAACCGTATGTACCGGAAGTGACGATGCTATGGTTACATTGGGACATTATAGCTAAATCAACTGCAGCACTTCCGGAAGTAGCAATTTTAATATCGGCATAGCTAAACTTTGACATCATCCAAGCTGCATCATCACCAATCATTACAAAGATAGGATTTTTAAGTTTCGACCGAAAGAACGTTAAAGCCTTTTTAACAAATATTTCGTCTGCCACATTGTATCCACGCGAGAGTTCTATCTTACTGTTCATATCACCCCGCCGAATGTGAACTCCAACTGTTATGCTAGCATTCAAAGCCTTTAACTTTGTAAACGCTTTGTGAAAAATAGAAGGTTTAAATCGGAAGGCTTTTCTTACATCATTAGCAATGTGATCAAAGTATTTCCAAGACTGGAAATATCCGTGTAACGTCCAATTCTTGGAATGAGATAGTTGGTGTATCCTGCTGTCAAATGCACCAGCGCGCTCCTCTCCGTGTCCTTGTGAATTTAGCATTTTGATCACGCGCACTTCGGCGATATCGAAAAACTGTGCAATTCGATGATTTGGAGGCACAAAGGGGAGGTAATTATGTAGAGCACTAACACCTAACAGTGCAGCAAATTGAAACATTTGATTACCGAGACGTCCTTTTCCCTCAACGGTCATAAAATGCGTTTTTCGGAAATCCTCTTTTTTATTCTTCAAGAAAACATTTTGAGAAAATTCTCTCTTGTTTTGACGTTGTGTTCCAACAGCAATGCTTGAAGTTGGTAAAGTTGAATTTCCTTGAAGTTTATCACGAAAACTCGAACCAATCGTCTTCTTACTGATAACGGCAGGTGACATCCATCCCAGCGTCTTTCTTGAAGAATTATTGCCTGAATTAGCCGTCAAGTCTGACATGTTCAGCACATATTGATGAAATAATCCTGCTTTGTGTGTTAGTGCTGAGTATGATACCAAGTTACTAAGAACAAGAAACATTACGGAGAGAATGAAAATACATATCGCGCATGTCCTGTAAGACACCAGACATATACTTTTCTGTTGGAAATTCAGTCTTGGTTTCATAGCCTTTCGAAAGCGCAGCTGTTCCTGAAAAACATAAATTGCATATAAATTTTCTGTAGCACTTATAAGTCCAAAAATAACTGCTATCAATCAGGAAAGAAGTTGAAAATGTTCAATATCCATTACACATCTAGACTCTAAACTGTACAACTTCATATTATTTAATTGTGTTACCCGAAAAAATAATATTCTGAACGTGAGCCCTTCCTAAAACCGGAAGTTGAGATTTGTAACAATATTTTCTTTCTACTATCAATAGAAAATTATCAAACATGATCACACTGTACCTCTTAAGTTTTTTAAAATGAAGCCACTTTTAACAAAATGGACATATTTGACTTTGAAATCGGGTCAAGGTCATTCATATGATCAGACCTGATAAATAACGACAGGGCAATCTTGCATGTGAAATACTAAGCTTCTAGACCTTGTGAAACTTGAGAAGAAGTTTTGTTACCAAAATAAGTAATTTTCAACCTTGATCCATATGGAGGACCGGAAATATAATTTACAGACCTAATTTTAGTCAAAGAACAATTTATCACAGTATGCAACTGACAAAAAATCAGAATGGTGTGGATCTTGGTAATTGCGAAAATGTTATTTAAATTGTTCCAAATAATTGTATCGTGTGACTTTGAAAGCGAGTCAAGGTCATTTATGTTAACAAACTAAATGGTCAATGACCAGAGCTCATTGTTCAGTGCAGTATAATGTATATCATTACTAATGTATACATTACAAGTATAAGTACAAGTATTTCACGTCAGGTACTGAAGGTTTACGTGCACAGTGTATTTCACTTGGCCTGCTTTGTTGTAACACATTTTCCTTAACAGTCATATTAAATCCATCAGGCACACATAAAAAGGGAAACCAACAAACAAACAAAGAAGGAAAGAAGGAAAGTAAGAAAGGAAAGAAAAATGGCTCCATAGCTGTTTGCTTACTGTTACATTTAATTTTTGCGCCACTGAAGTTTTTGCATTTTCCCCCCGTTTTCTAACCCTATTATATATATTTATAAACTTTCTTTGTAAACGGAGGAAATTTATGTGTCTGTACTTGATGTTTCCATTTATTATAATTAAATGATTGTAAATATAAGAAGTGTCTTCCCTACGTATCGTTTACATAATTTGGTATTTGCTTGTCCTGTTTTAAAGCTCTAATATGCAAAGCTGTTTGAGAAAACCAGACAAAACCAATATCTGTTCAGGGAATCGAACCCCGGACGGCAAGGTGAAAGACGAATGTGTTACCACTGAGCCACCAGACCACCACCTGATGGCGATAATGCAAATAATGTCTAGAAGATGACAATACAAGCGTAACGCCACGGATAACTAAGTCCGTAGTAACACATTGGTACATATGGACATGTCGGCATGACACTTGTTAAAACCTTGATACATGTTTTCTAGTTTTTAAGCTGTGTCGATTTATGCTTTATTTGTGTTTTTCTCACATCTGTAATTCCGCTTGAAAGCAACCGGCGACAAGAACATGCAACAAGAACACAGCAAGCATTGTGTTCATATATATATATAAGTTTAACGACAGGCGTAAGTTATTGCTACTTATAAACGCCTTCTACAAATATACATTTTTAAGTTATATTACGATACTGATGATGCAAATATGTGGTTATTGTTGCAATTTGACATCAAAATCTCTTGTTGGATCTAATAAAGTTTTGCACAGATCTAAAAATACTTGCATTAAGGTCCATGGAATCTGTTTGAAGTTTAAATCCCAATATATCTGCTATATGTAACCTTGAAAGTTGGTCAAGGTCATTCGTTTACAAAACAAATCCCGTAAGGCCTTTATCCCAGTTTGTTACAAGCCAAACATCCGCACCCTGGGCTTTTTGGTTATTGAGAGGAGGTCCTTTAAAGTATTTTACATATTTGTCACTTGTGACCTTGAAATTGCGTCAGGGTCAATGATATGAACATTGATGAACTACCCTACTAAGGATAAGAAGAAAAAAAACAATAATAATAGGGTTTTTATCGGATAGTGAAAATCCCCAATTAATATGTATAGCGATGATATCTAATATTTTGTGAAAGCTCGTTGGTGCAAACATCAAGAAATTAGACTATCAGGCACATGCAATAAGTCACGTGTCAATACATTCCAGATGACGTTGCGGTTAATGCACATGTTAGAGCAAACATATGTAGAGGCCTTTACAATACAGCAGACCTACACCACCAACAGAGAATAACGTCAAGTGTTTATAGAAGGCACTTACATAGCTTATAATTACCTGACGTATAACGATATACCTTAACAGAGTTAGACATCAGAAAAATGGACAAGTTCGGTTGTTTCCGTAAGTATTCGTGTGTATAATGCACCGGTGTGGACATCGGGATAAATGTCACGTGGTGTAGGGCTTTATAAGACATGCAAGTGGATAATGCGGTCTTTTGAGTTCGTTGCTCAACAGTACAACACGCACATTGATTTATTTTCACGGGAAAAAATAAACAATATGTATACATACATATTTTTCGTTTGAAACATTTTAACTGTAGATATAGGTAGTATACCGGCTAGCTATACATGTAGGTATTTTGTGTCGATGGTTTTTGTGCAAAGGATGTTGACTTTGATGTTTATATATGTGAAAAAATCGAATGAGCAACGATCTGTTATCCCATTTTAGTGTTTGTTGTTCATTTGGACTTATTTTATGTTCGGACGAACATGGTGAGAGAGAACATAATGCGTCAAAATTGACAGTCAGTGTGCTTTGAATGGTGGGGCGATAGTGGGCGAGGGTGGGTCGAGGGTGGGGCGAGCGTGGGGGAGGCTGGGGCGAGCGTGGGGCGTGGTGCTTTGGTAGACGGGTTCTGACTACCCAGGTACCAAATACGGAAATCTAGCAACCGTGCAAAGATAGGCATTCAGACAATGTTTTATATAATTTACAAATGGCCATCCCTCAGTAAGTGTTTACCATTTGGTAAGATTGTAAGGATAAATTTTACATGATTTTGTAATGACCGTCATTAAAAGATTTTCTTGAAACTATGGTTGTAGAGCTATAATAGGATGACAGACTTAGTTAACTACCGTCGATGGTTTTAACACACAACAGAAATGAGAAAAAAAATTGATATTTTCGGTGCAATCCACGAGTAGACGACCTCAGCATATCCATGTACAATATGTACAAGAGGAAACCGTAAAAATATCGATTCTGCACATGACCAGGGCAGCAGCGAAGCTACAAAACTTCACAATTCACGTTGGATGGTACATGAACCATATGTTGGTAAGCAAATCAAACTTTACGTCATGCTCAGTGTGGCTTTAGTGTACATACGTTCTCGTCACGAATCAATAACTGACTGAAATTTACTCAACGTGGTCAATTATTGACCTGTGTTGTGGTGACCAATATTTCTTCAGAATACTGTCGTTTTGAAGAATCAATAGTCACACGGTTAAATCTCGTGACATTTCTGATAGCCATGCCAATAAAACTCGATATAACGCCGTTTCTATTCCTTTACGAACAAAAAACTTGGATAAAACGCCCTTTCTATTCCATTATTTACAACAAACATCGATATAACGCTCCTAATGTTGTTTTATATATATACTCTAAAAAAATTCAAATTACCATTTTATCGAGTATAATCTCCATATGATGACCTTCATCATAAACAATAACATCAAGACAACGCCCGTACTAGTTCTTAAAATACTCATGTATTGAAATTTCGATATCAAGACCCTCATCTTACACAGCATATCTCGATATAACGCCCTTCATAGCAATTTATATAAATACAGGTGTATTGAAATTTCGATATAAAGACCCTCATCTTACACTGTTGATCTCGATATAACGCCCTTAATAGTAATTTATATAAATACAGGTGTATTGAAATTTCGATATAAAGACCCTCATCTTACACTGTTGATCTCGATATAACGCCCTTAATAGTAATTTATATAAATACAGGTGTATTGAAATTTCGATATAAAGAACCTCACCTTACACTGTTGATCTCGATATAACGCCCTTAATAGTAATTTATATAAATACAGGTGTATTGAAATTTCGATATAAAGAATCTCATCATACACAGCATATCTCGATATAACGCCCTTCATAGCAATTTATATAAATACAGGTGTATTGAAATTTCGATATAAAGAACCTCACCTTACACCGTTAATCCCGATATAATGACCTTCATTTCATACTGTGAATCTGTGAATATAACGCCGTTTAAAGTCATTTATATACGTATGCAGTGAAAACCTCCTATGAAACTCCAACACGGAAAAAACTGAGCTACAGAGCCGGGAGAACTTGTGCAGACATATTTAAAGATAAACTTTCTAGTTAGTAAAGATCATCAAGTGATGACTACAATGATACTCGAGTAAACTGGAAAATGTAAAATCTACCGACTTCAATTGTAGACATTCCCCGATAACGTAAATAAAATAGAAATTTGATTTCATATTTAATGTTTTCCTTGTGACAATACAGCTTCAATTTCATCCATTTCTAAATCTACAGACACAATAATAACACTTTGCTCTCCAAAAAACTATCATCATTGAACAGCCTGTTGTGTTTGTGTTTTTAATACCACATCTACAGAACTAACAGTTCTATTTTTAGTTTTTATTTTCTGTTTTTTACATTTGACATTGTTTTATTTTCATTTGCTGATAATTACATCATTCCAACGTTTGTTATATTGAGAGTCCAACAAAGAAAACCTCAGATGTTCGATAAGATCGCCATACGATGAGATACATGTATTATATAACGTGTGAAATTGAAGCCCAGTGTGTGATTCTGAAGATGTCCTTCAACGATAACATCATATCACTATGATTAATAGTCGTGGTTACGAAGGTTACCAATTCCATTATATGGATAACTGTGAAATACGTGGATATGTCTGATATTAGGTCGACATTTGGTAAGCGTGACACCGCTCTGTGCTGTGTAAACTACCAAGTCATCAAAAATGTGGTGAACATATCTGAAGTGTTCCTGTCTAAGTCATGTCATCCTGCATCACTCTCCCCAGTTCCCGAAACTATATCACAGTTTAACCTTTAACCATATGCTACACAATGCACACCGGAAACATCATTATCATTTGCCCCTTTAGACCCACGAACGTTCTGTAGCCAGACAACACAAAAATTACAATATCTGAAATGTGTTTCCATGGTAACAGATACTCACTCCTTCCATAGTTCCTCAACAGGAAGCGATCCGTTTGTGTAGCTATTTGTCCGCCATCTTTCCCTCCTGAAAAAACGAAAATGAAATGTCATAATCCCTGGCATGCTTCCGTGCTGATATCTATGTGACCCTGCAAGCGTGATGGACCAGAACCTATACTGTACTTAATCATGATTGTTTGTAATAACGATGCATATTCTTGCCAGCAACCAAACGTGGCGGGAAAAAATCGATATTGTTACAAACTTACAGCAGTCAGCACGCACTCGTCTCTGGGGTAATAAAGAGACGCGTTAGTCTCCAGTGTTTGCTTTCTGTGACGTAATAGTCTAACATTGTATTACATCACCATAAGTACTTTTACAATAAATATATATAAATATTGAAATTTTAACTGAGCTTTGTTTAATCTGGCATTGTTTAAAATGACAGAATAAATAATGTTTTTTTTTTAGAAATTACTGTACAATATTGTGTAGTTTCTCCACTATACATGTAACTTATCATCTACCATGTCCTCCCCTTATCCATCAATCCCCCACCTACACCCTCCTCAGCGCCTCCCTCGACAAACTAGAGGAAACATTGATCAGATTTAGAAGATAAGACATGAAAAGACCATTCGCTCTGATAAAATTCTGACCACATACTATTTGACACTCTCCTAAAGTGGACATTTCCTTCCTGGTGCAGTTTTCCATCGCCTTAAAATATACATATATATATACATGCACCTTGTGCTCTAGTCAGGGCTTTTAAATGGTGTCATTTTCTAAAGTTATGTACAAAATGAAACTCTATGATACAGACATTTCTATGATTTAAGCTATATTTCTAAACAATTCGCAGTGTTTCAGTGCGTGTCACCTTCGTACATAACAAGCGGAAATCGAAAGGTTGTTAGTCCGTACCCCCGGTTGGGAGGGTACTTTTCATTAATTTCTGTTACACTAGGTATCACGCTAGGCAGAAAGTCGTTTCAACACAGCACAGAATCTTAATCTATTTAACTTTCTTTCACTGTATATTTTCACCCAACCGGTTTATTTCTGTCCCCTGTACTGCCCACACAATCAATTCAACAGAATAATGAAACACGAGAACCGACCACTGTATGTACACCTGTATATACCGTGTTTATAGTCACCATACCTTTACATGCGATATAACTGTAATCTCCGTTATCTGGGGTAAGGGTAGATTGCCATCTCATCCTAAGGCCGCCGTTACCGATTTATATGCATGAACACAGGCTTCTGTCATATATAACCGCGTCCCATTGTATTGAAACAGACTATGAGTAGATTTCCGTGTTACTGCACACAAGGACATTCTACACGCGTTTAGTAGTACTTATCACACGAAAGTCGGACAAATTTAATTGATAAAGATATCCTCAATTATCACAGCGCAAGGTGACAACGATTATCGTTACTTGTTAAAAATCGAGAATTTTTGACAAGCATACCTGACACCTTAACATATCTGGTGTTATCAAACAAGCACGCGCTACTAAGTACATGTCGTGTACTTACCTTTGACTGCCAATGTCGAGATATACACGTTAACTTGTCAGAAACTACGTACCTGGCTAATTCTGGACAGGTAGTTACACGATCATGGTATTACATATATTGTGGCCGAGAGCTACTCAATCCGCATCGAGTTTAATCTATACAACCACTTGACAAGGGGCGTGTATGTAAACCCAACAAGCATGCTTTGCGACTCGTACTAAACAACTTTACAATTGCTGGCTGTTTATATGACCGCACACCTGTGTTTACATATTTGGTAGAGTGGGTGTTTCCAAAGCTATTTTAGGACTGCGAATTTATAAAGAAAAATACGGAATTTCCCCAAACGGGAAAATGCTACAATTATTGTTTTTAGCTTTGATATAATTATTTCAATCTCAAGATGTACCTATACTCTTTTTTTTTTGGAAAATTCACGTATCAATTTATTTGATTTAGATTCAAACATATGTTTTGCCATAATCATCAGCAACATGATTGGGCGCAATTTACAACAACATTAATTAACCCCTCTCTCAAAACAAATTACATTTACAGCCCGGGGTTTGGTTAATAAAGAGGAAATGAATCCGTAATTACATAAATACGGGAAAGTTAAATAGGCTTCCGAACTATTTGGACTTATTGTAATTTTAAATCAATTATTTTAGATATCATTCCATAAGTGTCAAAGAAAAAAATCGGAAAGTATTTTGTAAGGGTTTCCACACGAGCATTCGGTGCCTTCTACCAGGTTTACACAAAATAAAGTATATTTCAAAGAATCACATCGATGACGTAACTTTGTGTTGATTATATCAACTTCCTGTAATCAAATATATAGTAAAGCGTGGGGCTCGGTTAGTCTGGAGTTATAGAATATTTAAAAGTTTGCAAATTTTAAAAGTTTGCAAATATGGCGAAGATCTAGATGTACTAGCAAGTGTATTCCATACTCGAAGTGTGGAAGGAAGAAAGGAAGGATTAGGTATAGCATGTAATTCGTAATTACAAAATCCTGTCTGTTTCTTACCGGAAATGGAATAGTTTTACCAACTGTTGGATGCAACAAAGAATTCAGGAAGTCAGGAGCTAAACCACTTTTCATCTTATACAATAATTGTAACTACTTTCCCTTCTCTTCTAAATAGAAGTGCTTGAAGACCTGTTTCAACACGACGAGAATTGTTACTAGCATATGCGGGTAAATCTCTATCGCTGAGCTTAAGTTAGTGAGATATCTTCATTACATTCGTCTCATAATACATTAGCATATTCTAACACTAGTGAAATAAATGTCCTGTACATTTTAACAATGTATCATGTTTCAGTAGATATTTTTTAAATTTCTAAAAGCATTGATCTTTTTTATAAATGAAAATTAATTATTTTCAATGTGCCTCCATCCCATTACACTATTACAAGACGGCTTAGGTTATAATCTCGAGTCTATAATTGCAAATGATACCGCTGTATTGTGACGTCACAAAAAAGAACTTGCGAGGGCTGTTCCAGTAAGTAGATTAACTCCATTGTATCAGACGAGGTTCTTTTTTTTTCTTTTTTTTTCTGTTTTCTCAATGTAGATTTATACCACGTTGGCTTAATGAGTCGTAGGAGAAACGTGATTGAACTACACAAAATAACAAACCAAATCTATATAAACAGTAACATCGTTTAATGTCAATGGCAAGAGACTGATGAATGAAACAGCAACAGAGGACAGACGGAACAGATACCGTAAAACACTCATCACATCCGTGTTGTGTATATGGTCCGGAGGGGACATATTCAGACGAAGTAAAGTATAAGGCTTTAACGACATTCACGTCCAAATGTTTATAATCCCTATGATTATTGTGATTTTTTCCGCGCAGATCTCATGGGAGAAATGTTGAACACCATCAACTGTATGGAAGGAACAAGCGAGTTTTTAAAAATAATCTGAGATTGTTTAGCGTAACTGTGAATCTGAAGGGGTAGGATGTAAGGAATTTTCATTCCTACAAGTTTTCTTCCTCCAACGACATAATTACTACACTGATGGCTGTACCAGTCCTTTGCGAGAAACAACAAGAAATCTAAACTCAAATTCAATAAATGTAGAGCAAAATATGACCAAAAGAAAGAAACGTCATTTTCAAAACAAAATATAAGAGAATCATGATAGTTATTATGTATATCATTGAGGGAAATACATTTGTAAATCCATTTTAAGGACCCCAATGGAAAAAAGCAACATGCATATAGCATTCAACTTAAATTTCATTATGTTTTTTATACGTTTAAACTAAAAAGTAATATCGACGGTATGGTCCGATATTGGTACTTGATCCTAACAAACAAATGCTCGTTGGATGCGTATTACTGGGATAGATGCATGATCAATGAAGTAATAGCAACAGTACGGACAAGTGAATTGTCAAATTTTCGAGACAACCTGTCCCTTTATCAAGACACAAATATTACATAAATAACATCACATACATAGAACTTAAAACAAATACAAAGTTATAAATCTAAATCGAGAGCGGTTGTGTAAATTTAGGTGTCTCGATAATCCCTTCGGCCGATGGACGCCGAAGGCACTTAATAATGGACAAAAGCATCCCAAGTTGCTGTATGGAAGATGATGATCGGAATATTAAAAAAAAATATTTACATCTCTATAAACATTACATATATCTCCCTGCATACATTTTGGAATTTTTGGGTATCAAACTGTCAACTCTTTATTATCAGATTTCCGATTTACAGTGAGACTCCTAAAAACAACAAGAAAATAACACCATTTTATGATTGTGTTGACGTGTGTATGTTTTGTTGTTATTGTTCAGTTTGAGTATTTGTCAATGTTTATTGTCTAATGACGGACAAGATAGCTCCTCTAATATCCTTAGTAAAATTAACACCTGGTTTTAAATCAGATTTCTTTGTATTTTTAAACCTAGACTTGAGACTTCCGCCAATAGATATATGGCGTATGCCAAAATGTATCCATGTAATAAATATATTTTGAAAAGGAAACGCGTCGAGGAGTAGTAATTTTTTTACTTTTCAATAAGACAAAGAAAGGCAAATAGATTTTTAAAAATCTGTTTCCGTCTGGCAATATTCCAAGAAAAGTTTGGCACGCGCTGTGTTAGATCTACTGGTAAATATTGATATCTTGCATTGCTATTTATCGTATTGATCTTCTCATAGACATGGTGAAAGATATCGTTATTTTCATTACGTTTTACAAATGATATCGATCTAGTAGACTATCGATTATACTTACCACTCAGAAATTAAGCCAACATTTAGTCTGTCAACAGGCAAACCCGAAATCGATGACTGAAGCGAGGAATGTGACATCCGCAGCACTGAATTTTTAGTCGGCTTTTAGTATTATTCTTTAGTTTCGTATTTTTCGCGTCAAAATATACTTTACAGTTTATAGTACTTAATAATTATTTCTCACATAATTTCTCATGCGGTTATCATTTTAATCATACAAATAACGTAAATTTCAAGCCTGCCCATCAGAACACTACAGAAAGCTGATATAAACATACCTTGAAAGTAACTGGTATAATCCCGAGACATCCTTCTCCCCGAAAGGTATTCCGAAAGTCTTGAAACTTCCTTTCGCGCCGGTCTACAAACATGTGGGTACGTAAAAATTCTATTTCTCGTTTATAAAGTCAATTTAAAAGCAGATTTTGTTCTGAAAATATTGTTAGGATTGCAGTTGTAGGATCCTCGCATATAAAACGATTGAATCATGATGATGAGTTGATCTGTGGCACCACAGTGTCCAAATTCATTTGGAGGAATGGTTGTGTAGTTGACTGCATGTATATGAGTTCATGGCTGCTTGCACACATTTAAAGATGGCATTCCTGTAGATAATATAGGAATATAGGAAAAAAACTATTGAATTATTGTTGACATGACCAACGTTTCTAAATTTAGTTTAAATAAAGTATTTTAGTGCATATTTGGATACATAAAATAATTTCTATAGCTTTTAGTTAAAAGTCAGAAGCAGTTTTCACACATCTAAATCATACTGTGAAAAGATGTGTCAGATGGTTCAGATAATTAAAATGTCAATATAACACTCCACACATTGTAAAAGTTTTGTCTTTAGCTCCACACCGAGGTTGATTTCTCAAATACAAAATGCAATCATAACAAAACATAGGATATCTATATATAACCGTCCAAACAGATTTTCACATACAGTTTCATGTTAACTTGAATTTAGTGATTAATTGCAGCATGTTAAATTTCTGGCTAGCTTGGAACTTTATAACTTGTCATCATAAACCAAATTTGGAATGTGTTTATATATCTCTATATGGCCATTCAAACACACATTTTAAATTCTGATTTTCACATGTAGTTTACTACTGTTAAATGGACTTCAATTGATAACTTGTGCCATGTTTAGAGATAATTGTTTAACTCCACATTGAGCTTAATTTCTAACCAAGTATATAATCTGTCATAAGGAAACAATCTACTTAACCATCTAAATACACATTTCAGATTCTGATTGTCACCTACAATTTCTTATTATTTAGATTTTAATAATAATGCCATTAATAGTGCCATTTTAAGGTTTTTCCCATAATTCAGATCTACATGGAGCTTGAATTCTCTCTATGTATATACCAGTATGTTATTC